TCATAAAAGTATTAGGTAATTTGTAATTTGAATTTTATTAGTTAATTTGAAATAATTTTTTAGTTAATATGAATTTTATTAGTTAATAATTTTTTTTTCAATTCATAAATATATATTTCTTATTATTAAATAAATTATAAAACACATATTTGCATTTTATTAGGTAATAATTTGTGGTAGAGTTTTAGAGAAATTATTTTATTTTTAATATCAATTAATAAATATTTTTTATATTAATAATTCTTGTCTAATTAAATTTTCTTATATTAAAATATTCATAATAAATAGATAAATACGTAATTTAATTTAAAATTTTATAGAAACTTTTTAAAAAAATTATTTTATTTTTTTTAAAATATATCTTTGTCTAAATAGATTTTTTTTTATTAAAAAAATCATAATAAATAGAGAAATACAGGTTATATGGATAAAGTTTTTTAAAAAATAAAGTAGGTAATTTCTGGTAGAGTTTTATATAAATTATTTTATTTTCTTTAAATATATTCATAATAAATAAGTAAATACAGGTCATATGTGGTAAAGTTTTATAAATTATAAAATTATTAATTTGTGGTAAAGTTTTATAGAAATTATTTTATTTTCTTTAAATATATTTATGTCTAATTAGATTTTATTTTAATATAAAACTCATAGTAATTTTTTTTCCTGAATAAACTCATAATAAATAGAAAATGTGATAGAGTTTTATTGAAAATAAAATTGCTAATTTGTGGTAAATTTTATAGAAATTATTTTATTTTTTAAAATATATTATTTTCTAATTTGATTTCCTCTTATTTAAAAAACTCATAATAAATAGATAAATAGGTAATATGTGTTAGAGATTTATAGAAACTCTTTTAAAAACTCTTTTTATATCAATTAATAAATATTTTTTATATTATAATTCTTGTATAATTAGATTTCTTTTTATTAGAAACTCATTAATTTATAAATAGGTAATTTGTGTTAGAAACTCTTTTAAAATCTCTTTTTATTTTAATTAATAAATATTTTTTTATATATATAATTTTTGTTTAAATAGATTTCGTTTCATTAAAAAATTAATAATAAATAGATAAATAGGTAATTTTTGTTAGAGTTTTATAGAAACTCTTTAAATATATCATTGTCTAATGTGAATTATGTGATAGAGTTTATTGAAAATAAAATAGGTAATTTGTGATAAAAATTTATAGAAATTATTTTATTTTCTTTAAATATATCTTTATCTAATTAGATTTTCTTTTATTATAAAACTCATAATAAATAGATAATGTAATAGAGTTTTATAGAAAATAAAATTGTTAATTTGTGGTAAATTTTATAGAAATTATTTTATTTTCATTATAGAAATTTGTATTAAAAAATAAAAAAATAATAATTAGTTATCATTATCGTAAAATTTTAAATACCTCCAAATTGATAGACCATTAGTTTCCCATTGTACACAATTTGTAAAATGTGAGGGAGATACTTACCAAACCAAAAAAATTAATAGGTGTTCTTAATGTGTAAAGTAATTAATAGGTTTCTTAATGCGTAAAGTAAAGTAATTAAATGTAAAAAAAAAAAGAATAATGATACTTCTAAAAAATAAAAAGTAAAAAAAAAAAAAACAATAATGACTCAAAATAATAATAAATTATGAATGAACCAAAATTAAAAAATAAAAAACTAAAAGTAAAAAAATCACCATCCAAAGTAAACTTACCAAATCAACCACTTCTAAACATCAATTAGAAAGAGAAAAATAAAATAAAACAAATAATCTACTAAACATCAATTAGAAAGAGGGAAAAAAAAATAAAACAAAAGAAAAAAATAATAATAATGTTTCTAAAAAGAAAAACTAAAAGAAAAAAAATTAACAATCCAACCTTCTCAATACAACAAATTAAGAATAACAAATTTTGAACCATCCAAATTTTAATTACAAAGAGTAAAGTAAAAATAAAAACTAAAGAAAAAATAAGAATGATACTTCTTAAAAAGAAGAAAAAAAAAAAACAATAATAATTAGAAAGAGAAAAATAAAATAAAACATCTCATCTACTTCTAAACATCAATTAGAAAGAGAAAAATAAAAAAAAAAACAAAAGAAAAAAAAATAATAATGCTTCTAAAAATATAAAGTAAAGAAAAAAATTAACAATCCAACCTTCTCAATACAACAAATTAGGAACACCAAATTTTGAACCATCCAAATTATAAATACAAAGAGTAAAATAAAAATAAAAAAAAATTAAAGAAAAAAGAAGAATGATACTTTTGAAAAAGAAAAAAAAAACAGTAATGACTCAAAATAATAATAAATTAAGAATGAACCAAAAATAATAAAATAAAAAAATAAAGAAAAAAAATCAACCACTTCCGACCTTCTCAATATAATAAATTAAGAATAACAAATTTTGAACCATCCAAAGTATAATTACAAAGAGTAAAATTAAAATTAAAATTAAAGAAAAAAGAAGAATGATACTTCTGAAAAGGAAAAAGAAAAAAAAAACAATAATGACTCAAAATAATAATAAATTAAGAATGAACCAAAAATAATAAAACAAAAAAAAAATGAAGAAAAAAAATCCACCACTTCTAAACATCAATTAGAAAGAGAAAATAAAAATATAACAAATCAATTACTTCTAAACATAAATATCAATTAGAAAGAGAAAAAAATAATGATAACATAATAATAATACTTGTAAAAAGAAAAAAGTAAAGAAAAAACTTACAAGACCAATTATAAGGAGAAAAGAAAAAATATGCACATCACAAGCCTGGCCTAATATATATATATATATATATATATATATAGGTTATATGTGATAGAGTTTTATAGAAAATAAAATAGATAACTCAAATTTTATTAGGTAATTTGTGTTAGAGTTTTATAGAAACTCTTTTTATAAAAAGACTTTTTATATCAATTAATAAATATTTTTTTATATTAATAAAAAAATACTGAACTAATGAAGCAATTAATAAATATTTTTTTATATTAATAAATAAATACTGAACTAATGAAGCAATTAATAAATATTTTTTTATATTAATAAATAAATACATCCAAGGTATAATTACAAAGAGTAAAATAAAAATAAAAACTAAAGAAAAAAGAAGAATGATACTTCTTAAAAAGAAAAAAATAATAATAATTAGAAAGAGAAAAATAAAATAAAACAATTCATCTACTTCTAAACATTAACTAGAAAGAGAAAAATAAAAATAAAACAAAAGAAAATAATAATAATAATGCTTCTAAAAAGAAAAAGTAAAGAAAAAAAATTAACAATTCAACCTTCTCAATACAACAAATTACGAATAACGAATTTTGAACCATCCAAAGTATAATTACAGAGTAAAATAAAAATAAAAACTAAAAAAAAAGAAGAATGATATTTCTGAAAAAGAAAAACAAAACAATAATGACTCAAAATAATAATAAATTAAGAATGAACCAAAAATAATAAAATAATAAAATGAAGGAAAAAAATCAACCACTTCTAAACATCAATTAGAAAGAGAAAATAAAAATAAAATAAATCAACTACTTCTAAGCATAAATATAAATTAGAAAGAGAAAAAAATAATAATAACATAATAATAATGCTTATAAAAAGAAAAAGTAAAGAAAAAACTTACGATACCAATTATAAAGAGAAAAGAAAAAATATGCACACCACAAGCCTGGCCTAATATATATATATATATATATATATATATAAAAGTTATATGTGATAGAGTTTTATAGAAAATAAAATAGGTAACTGAAATTTTATTAGGTAATTTGTGTTAGAGTTTTATAGAAATTCTTTTTATAAAAACACTTTTTATATCAATTAATAGATATTTTTTTATATTAATAAAAAAATACTGAACTAATGAAGCAATTAATAAATATTTTTTTATATTAATAAATAAATACTGAAATACTGAAATATTTGTACATTTAATAATAGTATAGATACAGATAAATATATATAGATAATTTAATTTAGAAGGTAATAACTCTTAATTAATAAGCATAATTTGTGAATGATTGTGAGGTTTTAATGTGAAAAAAAAAAAATCAAAATGTTAAGAAATTAGCTACGCTTTTATAATAGTATATATAATAGATATAGATATAGATTTTTGGCAACAACTAAATGATATTTGGTCTTCTTTACATAAATATATTAAACTTTCTTAAAAAGCTTGTAGATGAAGATATTAAACTTTCTTGAAAAGTTTGTAGATAAAATTGGGTACCCATTTTGGAATGCCTGAATTTACGGCAAAGGGGTTAACTGGGTAAGAGTATTCCATTTATTAAATGGATATGCTTGAATTTTTAAAGAATTGCTTAATGTTGTGGATTACTTAAATGGAGCTTACCATGAATATTTTATAAAATTCTATCTTTTTTCAATAAATGTTATGAAAACATAAATAATTTATGTTTATATCTTCAATTGGCTTAAACTTAAAAATATATATATATATATGGGTGCCATATTTATAAATTGCATGATATATGGGTACCATATTTATAAATTGCATGCTTAATATATAAATTTGTCTTTTATAATATAAAAGAGTATAGTGGTAAACTAGTTAAAATAGTCTCCTTTTCTTTTTCTCTCAAATATAATTATTATCATTTCCTATTCGGTGTCCCGTGATTACACACATTTTTTGAATTTTTGAATTATTTTTTTCAATATACATACATATATTGTAAATATATGATAAATTCAGCTTTGGGCTGGACTTTGGAGGTTCAATTCACAGTTGAACATTAGGTGAATAAAGACTCCATACAATACGGATCATCCTATTATGTTTCTTCACTATCGTGGCGTCTGTTAATGTCATACATAATCAGTCGGTTACCAACCTTCCACACCCCCAATTCAATTAAAACATATTACAACACTAAAAAACAACTGAAATTCCAGAAATAAGTGAAAAAAAAAGAGTGAAGGTGACGCATAAAAAGTACTACTACTGCTATGAGACGAAACAAAAGAAACCGGCGTAGCGTGTACTCACATTTCTCTCTCTAGATTTTCTCACTCTTAAAAAAAACTAGAAGTCGTCTCATCTACCCTTCAACGGAGCAAACCAAAACAAAGCGTAATAGATTGAAATAGACACATATAGGACTTTCCATTGCTGTCTCTCAGTTCAAATTATGTCACACCAACCTATCATACCTCGTTCACCTTCCACTTCGTCTCTTAGTTTCTCTCTCTAGAATTCAATTCAATGGCTGATACGTCTACCACTGCGACGGAGGAGGAGACGACCGCGCCGTTGCTTCGGCCTCGGGAGGGCGCCACCGGGGAGGGGGCGACGCGGCCGAATACGCTCGCGATGCTGCTAGGGCGGGCTTCAGGCCGGCGGGGGCCGTCGATGCTGGTGAGGGAAACGGCGGCGCGTGAGCTGGAGGAGAGACGCGCTGACTGGGGGTATTCGAAGCCGGTGGTGGCACTGGACATGATGTGGAACTTGGCGTTTGTGATTGTGTCTGTGGTGATGTTAATTTGTACGGCAAGTGAGAAGACGAATGTGCCGATTAGGGTTTGGATCTGCGGTTACGCGTTGCAGTGTTCGGTTCATGTGTTTCTGGTGTGGTTGGAGTTCAGGAGGAGGAATGTGAGGAGGGGTCGGGGTGAGGCGGGGGCGGAATCGCACGGGGATGTGAATGAAAGCGACGATGAGGATGGAACTGCGGGGAATTTAGGGATTCCAAGTTCGAGGTAAGCCGAATTGCACTTGAACTTAGATTTAGTTTAAGTTATTGGATTTGATTTTGTTTCCGTAAATTGGTATACAAATTGAAGCACTTTAGGCTGGAATTTATGGTTTTAGTCAATCAACGATTTGCCCTAACATTGGGTCTACCATTTCCATCCATGACCTGCTAAGAAGTTCGGACCTTACAGATTTATGTCCTAACGTTGCAGCAGTAATCTGCATGTAGTATACAAAATTACAAACTGATCAACCTGGACAGAATTCTGACATATATTAAAAATTGGGAGCATTTGGACAAGTATTGAAACTTTTATTTAATTATTTTCTTGAATGAAAATTTAATTCATATGGTTGTATCTAGCTTGAAATCAACATGTAATGTGATATTAAATTAAGTCCTAGCATACTCAAATTTAGTTTAATTCTAGTTCCTTCTTTTTTCCTTGTTTTATCTTTTGATGATTTGGTGACATATTTAGTCTATTTTTACACTCTCTCTCTCTCTTTTTTTAAATAAGTAAAAGTAACATAGTAAAGCAACATGTTTACATCTAGGCATCCAACAAAATATTTTAGTTCAGTTGTATAATTATTAGGGTAAATTACCTTGACCTCTCTTGAAGTCTGGCCTTGACACCCTTGTCAAAGTTGCTTAGACAATTAACATTAGTTATTAATTTACTATTTGTCCATACTATGTTATATTTCATATTTGTTAAGAAAGCTGATTTGATATGAATAAATGACGTCATTCTTAACACAAATCACCCTTAGTTGTAACTTAACCAAAATCACCGCTCTCTGGTGTGCTCCTTTCCTAGTCTTTTTCAGATTGCCTTAGATAGACACACCTTGGTGCTCAACTGTTATTGGCTTGATTGCGGGAGGGTGATTTGGGATGTGCACTTCTTGACATGTTATATCTTGTGTTTGTGTGCGCGCGCTTTTTTGCCTTGTTGGATCTCCATATTTGCGCGCTTCTGTTGTCTCAACAAATTGGTATTAGAGCCGAAGGTGAAGGAGATCCAGAAAATGCAAGGAGTCTCAACAAGTATTCTAATGGGTTTCAGTTGTAGGTGGAGTCAACCAGCTTGTTTGGTCACGATGGTTAGAAAATTGTGGTGAGTTACGTGGCATAGAACTCAAGTAGTTAAAGTGGAGCCTTTGGAGGTTTGACTGATTGAGAGCAGCGTACAGTGTCAGGAGGATCGTGACATTTTGGCATACAATTTGAAGAGTAAGGAGGAACTGGCTCCTTGGAGTCCCTAAATCTGACAAGGTCGTAGTGATGGTTTGTAGGTGAAAGTACCTGATTGGAATTTGGTTTGTGGGCAAGATTGAAGGTATCAATGCTGTGGAAGCGATGATTGGCTGGATGGAATTTGAGCCAAGGTGGAGATTGTTGGTACTTGTGTCTCAAATTCCTAGTTTAATTAGTTTTCTTGTTTAGAGTTGTATTTTATTAGGTAATTTCTTGTTAGACAAGTCTTGGGCCCCAAGGAATTGTAATTCTTGTTCAACAAGGAATTGTCTTTGTAACTCTATAAATAGATACTTAGGTTGTGGTTGAGACTTATGAGATGTAGAGAGATGTAGTCTCATGACGGAGTAGATGGGTAGAGGTAGTTTATGGTTTGGTAGAGTAGGAAAAGCATTGGTGGCATTGGTAGTGAAGAGATAGGCTCGTGGAGTGGTACATGGTGAAAAGGCATATACTAGTGGAATCTCTTCTTATCCGTGGATGAAGCCGGTTTTGGTTGAATCACGTTATATCTTGTATTTGCGAATGATTAATTTATTGGATTTCGATGTTCCCGTTGTCACGGGCTTAGAGTTTCACAACTACACTAGCCAAACCTGTGCGGCACCATGACGGCGTTGCATTAGCCTAACTCCCGTGCCATGAGCCAACACACTCTCGCTTGTGCGCTTACTAGTGTTGTAGTGGCCTTTGTCCTCCTCACTTGGCTTACGCACACTCACACACTTGGGCACTTTAGTTGGCAAGACAAAGAACATTTGTCTTACTACTCAAAGAATGCTTTGTACTAGGCTATTTATCATGCTCTCTACTTAGCTCTTAATTCACACTCCTTACAAATGAAACACACTCCCTATTTATAGACATCTCCCTCCGGAATACACGGCTAGGATGCATCCTAATCTACAGTGGAGATCGTTCCTATAGAAATTTCTCCTATCTTCTCTACACTTATATACGCATCTACATACATCTACACAACTCTAGAATCCTCCACATAACTCTACATAACTCTGGAAGACTATAGATTTTTCTCTTGCTATACAGATGCCATGCAACATCTTACGTAGTGCGTGTCGCTTGCGCGGCGTAAACTGCAGCGGTGGGGTGTGACATCATCCCCCACCCATTATTTTTTTTGATAAGTAAAAATGTATTAGAAAGCGTTCAAAAGGGGAACGCATCTCAAGAGCTGTACAAGAACCAAGAGCAAAAAAACAAAGAAAGCCTAGGGATCCAAGGACCCCAAAAAATCCAAAAACCCCTCAATGGAAGAACAATCTCTCCCCATGCTCTAACTAAAAAGAGAACAAATAATAGAATACTTAAGAGCCCTAATGGGTAACTCCTCCCCAGCAAAGGATCTTCTATTGCGTTCTTTCCACAGACACCACCAGATGCAGAGGGGAGTCGCCCTCCAGAAGTCGCGAACTCGAGCCCCCACCTTCTGTCCTCTCCAAATATCGAGAAGACCCTGTGAGGTCCGAGGCATAACCCATTGAACGCCAAAAAGACCAAACATAAGGCTCCAACAGTCATGGGCCACTGGGTAGTGCAAGAGAAGGTGGTCCACAGACTCTCCATCAGTCATACACAGACAACACCGATTAACAATAACATGACTCCTCTTCCTCAAATTGTCCAGAGTCAGGATCTTGCCCCAAGTAGCAGTCTAAGCAAAAAAGGCCACCCTAAGAGGAGCCTTCGAATGCCAAACCGTTTTCCATGGATAAGAGGGAGCCTGAAAACTAGACATCCCCCACCTATGACTCCTTCATCACAGCTTCTTTTGCTGACCCAACCTGTCCATGGTCAACAACACCTGTGTATGTCCTTGGCCCAAACATTCGTGTTAACTATTATTTACTATAAAAGTTTAAGTTGTTAAAGAGGTTGTAATTTAAATATTTAATATTTAAAGCTTAAGCTGTTAGATAGGGTGTAACTTTAATATTTAAATCCTTCAACGCAGCCCTTCACTTGTGGCCTTCTGGTGGTTCTAACACGTGTTTTAATTTTAATTATCGCAGTTGAGGTTTAAAAAAAGGACCTTGTCTACTCTGACATGTTCACTGCGACCTCTAGACTCTCCTTCCTGCCCACGAACGGAAGCATGCATGCGGCTTGGCCTTCCTCGCCTCCAAGTATCATCATTGCCCCAAGACATGGTATTGGGGCGACATTTTTCTTGTCCAAGAAGTTCAGCCCCAGCATCATGTCATGGTCATCCATCTCCGCAACCTGGAAGTCAGCCTTGCCCTTCCACCCACTCATGCACAGCTCCACGCCCTTGCACACTTCTCACGTGTGCTTCCTGTCTCTTCTGAGTTGACGCCCTTGATCCAACCCTCTCTCTTGCGCGTCTCTAGACCGGGTCTTTGTGCCTTCCGCGGGGTGATAAAGTTGTGCATGTGATGTAGGACAAGGGTTGCCTCAAATAGTTGAAATAAAAAGGAGTTTATTGGCTGGAAATTCAGATAAACAAGGCTATGGTTCAAGAGTTGTTAATAGAGAAGAAGCATTGAAAATAACCAAAAAAAAAAAAAAAAAAAAAAATTTATTGGAATCACTCCAGCAGGCCTAGGTATCACACCTAGAGAAGGCTTCGCTCCCTCAAAATTTGTGAATCACTCACAAAGAAATCTCAAATATATTTTATTCATTCATTCAATGAGTAATCAGAATTACATAGTATCATTTTATAATAACTAATGACCCTTGGAATACCCTACAATGGAGGTAATCAAAAGCTATGTTACATGGACTCGGGTACGGGTGTCGGATAAGGGTATGTATCTATGAGTCGAACGTGTCAAATCTTTAAATAGAAAGACACACGGACACGGCTAAATATTCATTTTATTAATTATTATTTTTTATTTTCTAGAGTAAAGTAATGTTTTTATCTAATATAATGTTCAATATAGACATTTAACTCATTCAAAAGTAATAATATAATGTAATTGAATGATTGGAAATGCTTTTTAAGTAATGTCCAACCAAAAGTGTCGGACACATATTCCATTCCTATGTCCGAGGGATATGTGTCCGACACGGATACTTCATTACTTTTGAAGAGTCCATGTAACAGAGATCAAAAGTTGACTCTACCATAATAAAGTAATAAATAACTTAATTGATACAATTTAATCTAATTGATGGAATTACCAAAACAATGCAATTTCACCATTATTGATGCAATTACCAAAATTATGCAATTTGACCAAACCCCCTAATTATGCAAGACTCCAAGTGGACCCTCCATCATCTAGCATGTGCCAAATTAAGGTTTGAGCCTTAGAACCCTCCTTGCCACGCCTTTTATATACTTTAAAAGGCTGTTGCTACTGTTCTCTACCAGTATGACACCCATGTCTACTAATGCTTGTGTGGGCTTGCTACCAACCTCTGCGTCTACATAGCGCACCCCTGCGACCTTCTTCCATTGCCCTTCTTCTTGGTGTTATATGCTATGCTACTCGGCATTTGCGTGGCCCTTATGGCCTATGCTCGTGTCTTAGTCGTTGTTTAATGACAAGTTGTCCTCCTTACCCTTCTTCACAAGGGCACTCACGGTCTTCTTGTTAGGGCAGTGTCTCAACATGTGCGTTTGTGCATCGCATAACTAACATTTCAACCCGCCCTTGCTCTTGTTGCGACGCTCTCCCTTGCCATTGGCCTTGGACCATCACCCATGGTCCTTGCCCTTGCCATAGTGCAGGCGTCTATTCTCGTCGCTATGCTCGTAATCATTGGGCTTGGGCATGTTCACCTTCTTGGGGCTTCGGTCTCTCCCACCTTTGGTGTTTTCCCTCCTTGGAGACGTGGATCGTCATGCCTAAAGTTCTGCTATAACCATGGTGGATGCCAAGTCTCTAGGCTCCCTCATTTGTAGCTCCGTGGCCACCCAAGACTGCATCCCATCGATGAAGAAGCTAAAGTGTTGTCGCTTAGTCATCTCAGAGATCTCTAATATTAAGGTGGTGTACTCCTTCACATACTCTCTAATGCTGCCCTTCTGATTCAAGCGCCTCAGGTTAATAATAGCAAGGTACTTCACGCTCTCGGGATAGAACTGCCTCTTGAACTTGTCCCATGTCTCAACCACTTGCGCCCCTCTACTTGTGAAGCGTTGCCTCCACCATAGCGCAGCAGTGTTTGTGAGATACATCATGCTCGTCTACACCTTTTCCTCGTCATCTCCGATGTCCATGCCATCAAAGTACCTATTCATGTGTCCAAAGAAGAAGTCAATCTCGTGTGCGTCTCTTTCCCCATCATACCCCTTGGTTTTCAGCGCCGCCTTCTTCCTTGGCTCGACAACGACCTCACGCGCTTGCGAGAACTCCTTGAACTTCGCAATCTCAACGCACAAGTCGTCCGCCTTGTCATGTAAGTCCCTATCCTTCTCTCTTGCCTTGATAACCATGCTATCGAACGACTCGGTGAGTTCTACGACCTTCCTTTCGAGCTTGGACAGCCTAGTTTCCGTGACAACCACGAATGTGGCAAGCTTCTCCTCCAAGCTTTGGGGCACCTCACCCAAGCTTTGGGGCACCTCACTAGCCATGCCTACTCGAACAAAGCCTCCCTTGTGTTCTCTTGGGCGGAACCTCGCTCTGCTACCAACTGTTACGGGCTTAGAGTTTCACCACTACTCTAGCCAAACCCGTTCGGCACCAAGATGACATTGCTTCTCCTCGTACTAGGCATTGGTCAACCTAACTCCCATACTTACTCAAGCAAACACACTCCCGCTCATGCACTTACTAGTGTTGTAGTGGCCTTCGCCCTCCTCACTTGGCTTGCATACACATACTTGGGCACTTTAGTTTGCAAGAGAAAGAACACTTGTATTACTACTCAAAGTATGCTTTGTACAAGGCTAGCTCTCAAGTTCTCTACTTAGCTCTCAACTCACACTCTGACTTGTTGCCTTATAAATGAAAACACTCCCTATTTATAGGCATTCCCATTGGCAATTGACCGCTAGAATAATCTACAACAATCTACATACATCTACACAACTCTTGAATCCTCCACACAACTCTGGAGTGATTCTTCTCTTTCCATGCAGACACCATGCAACATCCTATTCAGCTCACGTGTCGTCTGCACGGCGTAACCTCCTGCGGCAAGGCGTGACAACGCGCTTCCATTGCTCCAACAATATATGTTGCATTGTTGCAACTTGCAATATATGTCTGTTCATATAGTACATGAATTGTATACTTATATATCTATCATTAAAAAGGACATTTGGTTAAATTTGTCCCTTTATTGCAACTAAGGGCATTTTTGGAATATGAAAAATTGTCTAAGGCATTGACAAACCTTTAAAGCTTTAACATACTTGGGGTTGACTGTGATTTCATTATACCTCGGGTCGTTGACCCAATTTCCCTTTTTTTTTTTTTTTGGAAACTTTCATTTGAGGATGATTAGGCCAAACCTAAAGGGAGGTCAGGGTAATTTACTCTAATTGTTATTTTTTGAGCTGTGATACATCTTCCGACCCAATCCACTGAAAAATCCTCCGAATCAAATGTGGCATGCCACGCCATCCCCATAAGTTTCTCTTTCTAGAAGACCGGACTGAAAAAAAAAACCCCGTTAGCGAGGCCAAAGCAAGGATGAAATTGCTCCTGTAAGACGGAGAAGACGAAGAAGGTGGAGAAGGAAGAGATGATGGTGAAATTGGATATAGATTTCACCTGTCTGTTGCCAACCATAGTGAACGGTCGCCAGAATTGGATCATCCAATCACAACCTCACCGCCGTTCGCAGTCGTCGGAGCTTCCATCGTCATCGCTGTCGTCGCCTGGTCCATTGCCATCGCCGACGTTTGTTGGTGAGCATCCTCTTTGACAGTTGTCGCCGAAGTTGAGTAGTCATTGGCCATTGCCGAAGTTGAATAGTCCCTGTTCATCGTCGGAGTAGTCACTACGGCCGCTGTTCAGACCCGTTGTCGCCGGAGTAGCTTGTCGCCACCATTCGTTCTCAGTCGCGCCATGCCGGCCTTGCCATAGTTCAGTATTGCTTTTCAGTCGCACCATGCTGCCGGGCACAATCGTGGCCGTGGATTCCAGAAACAAAGAGGAAGAAAGTGAGAGGGGGTCTTGACTTCCCAAGTTAGACAGATTTTTAGTGAGAGAAAACCAGGGTTACTTGGTGAGATGACGCGGCTATGCCACATCGGTTTCGGAGGAAGTTTCGGTTGTTTGGGTCGGAGGAAATATCATTTCCCTTATTTTTTATAATGAATAAAAGTATCATTAGTTCAATTGTCCTTTTAGCAGTGCTAAAATCCATTTTCTCACACATGTAACTCCCAGGTTTATCTGCATGTTTTATTAAGCACCCATTGTAGAAACATTGACAAATTGTATTTGCATAAAGAAGGAAGATTGCAAACTTAAAATTTTTTACACCCATAGGTTTTTTCTTGTGGTGATATGGCTTTCACAATTTCAGCTTCTTGAAAGTGAGGAATAAACACGTCACAGCTTGGACTTGCTAATGTAACTGAGTTTGGGGTAACAAAATTCAAATTGATCATTGCTTTGGGTACTTGAAGTTGAAGACTTGAAGATGCCAACTTCCAGTCTGTTTTGGATTTTGCGTTTGGATCTCAAGAGTAATACTCCCTTTTTGAATTGGCGAGCTATTATCTCTTTCGGAAAAGCCTTTTGCAATCAGCTTCGAGCTTCTCTCAATATTTGCTTGCAACATTAACCTAATTCTGCAGTCTTTTATGGAGTTGAAAGTCAATGATATTAAACTGACCTTTACTTCAAAAACTACACCCTTAATTTCTTTTACTTTTTTCTATGTAATTTGTAACAGTACGAGTCACCTAGTTCCAGAAAATAACACACTTGTTGTGAGTGTCTATTGTAATCTGAGTTTGACGAATAGCAATTGCTCTGATTCTATTCTCTTATGTTACTTGCAGTTAGCTTACTTGTTACTTCTGCTTGTATTTCCATTATTATCCATGACCTTTTCCTGATTTAATTGATATTTCAGTGCCACTAAACGATGTGAATCTGTGAATACAATGGCATCATTTCTCTGGTGGATAGTCGGCTTCTATTGGGTAGTTTCTGGTGGTGAAATTCTTCTGCATGGTGCCCCACGTTTGTACTGGTATGCTTTGAACTAACCTAATATTGAGATCCTTTATTTTGTAACTGCATGTGACCAAGCAAACTGCTTATGATTGTTCAAGTAATCAATCTAGTAATATGTTTTTGTCAAAACCAATCAACTCTAGTATTTTCTGGGATGGACAAAATCTTGGGTTTTCAGAAGATTAAATATATCTATTTGAAATAGGAAAATTTTCTAATGTCTGCACAAAAGGTTTTGATCATATATAATGCCACTGCTAGATTCAGTGATGACCACTGTGTCTATTTCTTTCGTACTGTGGTTTATCAACTTTTTTCTTTTTTTATTTCTTTTTTTCTTTTGTGTGTGTGTCTGAAAATAGTTTTTCCATTTCTGTCAATTAGTAGGCCCTATTACACCAAAAGAAAAAAGATACCTTACTATCTTGGAAAAAACATAATTACTATATATCATTCAACATAAGAAAAAAGAAGAAGAAGAAGGTTTTTAACACTCCCCTTCAAGCTGGTGCTAAGATATTACACATTCTCAGCTTGTCTAGAACTGATTAAAATATTGTAGTTGCTACTCCTTTTGTTAGAATAATTTGCAAGTTGATCACCCGACTTCACATCAGGAGTACTGATAGTACTAATGACTAAGGGCTTGAACTTAAAACTCTGATAAAGAGTCGTGCAAGGTGTACACTCACTAATCCACTATCAAGAAAGAAGGATTACAACCTACATTAACAGTTCAGTGGCCCTGAAACCCCTAGTTACGTCCTTGACATATTAGACTCCAAACTTTTTCTCTGAAAGGTCTCTATATAGTGCTTTTGCTCGTCAATTGCATGCGCTCCTCACAAATCTACTACTCTTGTGAATTAGTCTCAGCTAATAGTTGTCCATGTGTCAATTTGTAAATTGAACTTGTACGTTGAATTGTCTCTTGAATACGCAGCAATGGGTGTCAACACGTGTGTATACACTCACTAAAACTAAGCATGATGAATATAGAAGAAAATATGCATTCTCACAAAACACAGCACTCAATCATGTATTTTTTATATGTATGAGAGAGATAATTTGTATAAGTGTCACTTTAGGTATATATAAGCAACCTTGTAGTATTACGAGAACATAATTTTTTGCAGTGTTAAAAACAAAATTGGAACTTGCCTACCCGAGGACCTGAACAACTTGATCTAAATGTTGATCGATGGACATCACTCCAGATGCCTTTGGTCGATATCTCGGTGGATCGACTACTTCTGCAGGTTTTATACATTAAAAAAATATATTTAAACATGGAAGTTTCCAAAACATATATATATATATATATATATATATATATATATATATATTGATAAGTAATAATTGCATAACAAATGTTCAAATTCCAAAACATATTCATTCACATATAAAACATATTAGGGAATCAGAATTACTTTAAATCATCAACATTTAGAAACTCTAGTTATGCAATGCATATACCCTAATTGGCAAGTGCATCATTATGTCAATTTACCTTTTTAGAGTCGATAAAGATTACTGAAATACCCTTGAATGTAGAATCAATTCCATCTTCAATTTTGGGAGGTAACTAACACTAAACTAACTTTTGACCAAGTTTTAAAAAAAGCAAGAAATTAAAACGAAATTACTGATTTAAGTTTTGATCTACGACATTTGCCAATATAAGTCCTATTGACCTAACAATACAAAGCAAATCCATGCTTAATTTCTATTGATAAAGTGTGTCCCAACTCCAATGTGTTCAGTTCTATCATGCTGGATTGGATTGTGTGCATTGTTTATTGCAACTTTGTAATCACAGTATTATGCTCATAGGATCTCTACAACGATTTCAACCAAAGTGATATACATACTCCTTTGGCATTAGATCTAGCAACAATCGCTGATTTTTGCTTCCCCATGCTACTAGATTTCCTCAAAAGTGAAATAACCAGATGTGGATTTCTGATTGTCTGAAACTGATCCAGCCCAATTTGCATGTATATAGGATTCTGTTCTCATGCGATTTTGTCTAGAAAATGACAATTCTCTACCAGGAGCAAACAAGTATTCGAAGAGTCTAAAAATGCCTCCATGTGAGGCTCACATGGTGCATGCATAAATTGGCTCACAACTCTAACTGCATAAGCGATATCAGGACGTGTGTGGGACAAGTAAATTTATTTTTCCCACAAGCAGTATCTACCTCTATCATCTAGAGCATCTTGACCGCCTTCTCTTAAGTTGTTGTTTTGTTCGATCGGCGTCGAATCCGTCGATAAGTTTACACCCTAACATTCCTTTTTTTCTTTTTTCTTTTTTCTTTTTTGGCATGTTTCCTTTGTGAGGTGAAGATTCCCAGTTTGGATCTAGCAACTTCAATCGTTGGGAAATATCCTTTTATCTCAAATTACTAGATGGGTAGGTCCTTTGACATTTCTTCTACATGTACAATAAGTGCAATTACCTTCCCTTGAGACTAATGCCTTAATGAATTATATATGAGCTCCTTGGCTTTGGTTGTAGCAAATCTCTGCATAGCTTTAGTAAACCTCTGAAGCCGTACTCTAGGATTAGGAGATTGCTTCAACCTATATTTTGCTTCTTCAATTCAAATACATTGCCATTAGGTGATGTAAACTCAAAACTGTGAAAATATCCATGTACACGTCCTCCTCTAAAATCTCCATGGAGCAAGGCATTCTTCACATCAAACTGTTAAACTCATCATTATCATGCTTGCCTTTATCCCATGTGAATGGGGTTGGCCGCATGAATTCTCTCTTCCCATTCTTTCCTTTTAGAAACCTTGTCATCTCTTAAATCCAAGTTTTTTTTTTTTTAATTCGTTTTTAATTACTTCATCCTGTGTTACCTGGACTCGCCTGTTCAGGCCGAAGTGTCCGTGTCGACACGACACGGACACGGACACTGGATCTGAGTCGGATCCTTCATGGCGTCTACCGGACACGGCTGATAGATGACGAAAACTCAAACAAAGATGTTTGGGTTGGTAGTTGTGAAGGATTGCGAACTTTCTTCATGCTTTATTTGTTAAATAGGTTGCCATTAATGAGATCAGAAAACTTACTGGTACAACAATGGTGGTTTGCTTCAAAAGTAGCGTCTTTCGAAGGTTAGAGAAGACTGAAGTGTACGCGCTTTGTTTGCACAAAATTTTGTAACGGTCGAGCGTGTTTTCACATTCTTACTAATGCTTTTAATACCCTTCAACGGTCACGATCATGCCACTTGTCAATTTGGATGTAAAAATATGGGAGAGTTTGGTCTTTTAACAAGGATAATGTTTTACAGCTGTAAAAGACTATCTAAGCTATGAACAATTTACAATTGTACTGGGACAGCTGTATTATTTTATTTAAGTAATATCTATCGGTCAATCTCGAGCAAATTTTTTGACCTGACAGTTTGACTTTATAAATAAGGTAATATTATTATAATAGTTGTATTACCTTTTTTTTTTTTTTTTTTTACAGTAAATCCATTCATTAAAAAAAAGAAATTGTACAAGGAAAGGCCTAGCCCAAAGGCAGCCCAGAAAAACAAAACTAAAACAGGCCCACACAGGAGCACATTGCAGTTGCATCCACAACTGTAAGAACAGGTACAAGTGCAACAACAGAGCAAAAAAAGAAAACCTGCATCACAAAAAAATAGAGCTTGGAAGGCTCCACACTGCTATCTTTACATTTATATATTTATTCAATTTTTCATTAAAAAACTGAGGTCTAACATAAAAAAGGGTACATTTTTTTCTTTTCCTACAAGTGTCCAAGTGTCCGTGTCCAACTTTTGGACACTTTTATTCCGTGTCCCCGTGTCCTATAATTTGATAGATGGATGGATCCGACCTCTGGACACGCACCCGTGTCCGACACCCGCACCCGAGTCCAGGTAACATAGACTTCATCCCACTTGAGTTTTGGTAGTCTCTTTGTTGATTAACTTCTAAAAACCCCCTGTATTGACCAACTAGAATTTGAAACTGAGGAGAGCAAAACCCAGATCGGATTCATCTTTGCCACAGGAGCAACAGTGTTATTAAAGGCACGCCCAGGTGCAAGTCTAGCGTCTGTTGTCAGCCTCGTTCTAACAATCTTTATTAAGTGCGAGCCTGGGCTGTGCCTCGTTCTAGTTGTTAGTCGCTCCTAGTTGTGCCCAACTCTTCCTTCCTTATTTTCTAAATGATTATTAAATTTCCTTGAGCTAAAAAGGTAAGTTTTGGCAACTTCTGGAACTTTTGATCAAAAGAATAAACAAAAAGGAAAGCCAAGAGTCAGACAAAAAGAAAGAGAAAGAGAACTTGTGAGAGAGTGAGACTGAGATGAAGTTGCAGACACGATACGAACACGCAAAACTGCAGAGACGAAAGCGACCTATAGAGATGAACGCGAAGCCGGGTTAGTTCTTTCTTCTTCTTCTTCTATCTCCCCGTCTCTCTCTGTCTACTCCTCTCTGTTTGTCTCTCTCTCTTCATCTGGTTCTCTCTCTGTCTTTTTCCCCCCCTTTTCTTCTTTAACAACTTCTCTCTTCTCATCTACTTTTTATTTTTTATTTTTATAAGTAATATTTCATAAAGGGCTCTCTGGGAGAGCTTCCAAAGAATACACAAAACGCCAAAGGTGAAACTAAAGCTGTAAGCTATCCACAAAATCCAAAAGATCCCCCAAAGATTTACAATTACGCCTGTTAACCTAAATAAATAAAGTATGCAGTAATCAGTATGCTATATTTGAGAGACCAAATAGGAGTATCATCTCCCACAAAAGATCTCCTATTTCTTGTCTACTTCTCTCTCTTCATCTACTTCTGTCTTTGTGGTTTTTTTGGCTCTGTTTTTGTTTTTGTTTTTTTTTTTGCCCTTTCCTTGTTAACCGGATTTTTTAATTTTTTTTTCTTTTTAAACTGTCCATCTCTCTGTCTTCTTCTTTTCTATCTTTCACTCTTCTTTGACCTAAATTATTTCCTTTTTTTTTTTTTGGGGTTAAATTTTTTTTTTTGTGCTCTGTTTTTTTTTTTTTTGGTTAGCAGATTTTTTTTTTTCTTTTTCTTTTTTATTTGTGCTGTCCTTCTGTGTCTTCCTCTCATCTCTGTCTATCAGTATCTCCCACTATTTATTTTTCGTTCTTCTTTGAATGCTATCTTAAATTATTTTCTAATTCCTGCTGTCCTTTTGTGTGCGTGTGTTCATATGTTAGCAGATTGATCTATTTTTGCTTCAATTCTCAGGTCTCATGATTCATTTAGATTTTAAAGCTTGAAGTCTTTGGAATTGGATATATGGATTTACTTTTATGGTTCTTGGATGCTTATATGGTTTATGGATTTACTTTTTCATGTTTGATATTCATTGTTAGAATATATATATATTTTTATAAGTAAAAATATATTAGAAAACGTTCAAAAGGGGAACACATCCGAAGAGGAGCCCTAAGGACCTGAGGAACCCAAAAAAACAATCTCCTCTACAGATTTACAGTTTCTCCCCATAACCCAAAAAAAAAAAGAAAAGAGAGAGAGAGAGAGAGCTAACAATAAAATATTTTTGTGAGATATTAATTTTTTGAATATTGATATGACTTATAAGCTATGTTACCTGGACTCGCCGGTGTTGGCCGAAGTGTTTGTGTCGATACGACATGGGCATGGACACATAATCTGGTTCGGACTTTTCATCTTTACTTTGGACACAGCGGATGACGAAAATACACAAAAAGATGTGTGGGTTGATGCTTGTGAAGGATTACAAATTTTTTTCATGTTTTTTTTTGTTGAATCGGCTTCCATTTGCGGTGTTAAGAAGCTCTGTGATTTGAAGACGGCATCGGGCTGAAAAACATCTTTGACAGGTTGAAGCTGATGGTCTATCAATGCCCACCTTTCACGTGCTATCAATGCCCAATTTATTTGCAATTGGCTGAGCGTGAAAACACACGTGTTATGGGTTACAGCTGTACTCTCCTATATATAATATATTTGACATTGGGTTACGAACTTACGTGTAAGCTGTTACTACATATATATTGTAAGTATTCCAGTGTGGCTCTCTAGATGGTGGTGTACAACTGTAGCTTTTGTACAGCATATTAATTTATAGCTGTAGTACAAATAAAAAGAGCTGTAGTACAAATAAATGGAGTGTGGTAACGGTAAAAGTTAATTCAGTTAGCTAGTTGTACGAACTTACTTTTTCTTTCTTTTTATTATTATTATTTTTTTTGATAGGTCTTTCTTTTTTATTATTTTTAAGAGAAGACATGACAAATGAGAAGTCCTCTCTGACTCCTCTTTATTGAAAATTGTTAATTACTATGAAGTACTTAAAAATAATTTAAATAACTGGCTAATACTTCAAAGACTTATTATTATATAAAGCTATTCTTTAACAAACTATTTGCTAAGAAGGACAAAAACCTTTAATAATAAACATGTATGTAGTTGAATATTCTTTGTCCATGGAAGTGTCCAAGTGTCCATGTCCAACTTTTGGGCACTTATTGGCCGAGTTTCCCAAGTCCACTAATGTTATAGATTAGCGAATCCGACTTGTAGACACATACCCGTGTCCGACAATCATGTCTGAGTCCAGTTAACCTATCTTATAGGATATAAATGCTTTTATGGTAGTTTAAAATTTCAGTTGTGCGCCTCGCTTCACTCAGGCTTCAAAGGACTTCTAGTGCCTCGGTGCGCCTTGAGCCTTTAATAACATCGAGGAGCAAATGTCCCCTTATAAATCTGAATGGGAATTACCACTTCAATTTTTTCGAGGTGATTGACTTATGCATAATATCATCCTCCTTGAAAGGTTGTGGCTTATATGGACTTGTAGGTTGTGCCATGGACGTGAAATATGATTTCTAGGATGTACATGGACACGAACTTTACAGTTGACGGAATATTTATGATTTTCAGCGTCTTTGTTGTCATCATATTATTAATAACTCAATTGACTCGTACAAAAATTTATGGATGTGAGAAATGTTGTATTTTTTAATCAAAGCATGCAAAATTTAGTTGCAGGGCTACTCCAGCGATATCTGATTCTGAAATTTGCAGGTTGGCTGTGGTATTTCTGGCATTCGATGTGTTCTTCGCCATCTTTTGTGTTGTTTTGGCATGCTTGATAGGGATTGCTCTGTGTTGCTGCTTGCCTTGCATTATTGCAATCCTTTATGCCATTGCAGGCCAGGTATGACAAAGAACAAATAACTATGATAATTACAAGTATATCAAGTGGATTGTGTACCGTTTAATAGCTTCCTTTTTTCTTTTCTTTTTTGTCATTTCTTGAATAAACAGGAAGGTGCATCAGAAGCAGATCTGAGTATCCTTCCAAAATACAGATTCCAAATATCTAGCAATGATGAAAAGCCTAGTGTTGGAGCAGGTAGAATGGTTCCCATTGAAACGAGCAGTTCATATGTAGCTAATGAGCGCGTTCTTTTACCTGAGGATGCAGTAAGTTACTGGCTTATCATGGAAATCTTTAATATTAACTTATTCCACAAGTATTATAATGTATTCATGTTGGTTCCAGTATGTTGTCATTTTTATTTATTTATTATTAAATAAATATATATATATATATATATAGGCTTAATTAGACAAACTTTTAAGGGTGGGTTGGGGCTCATTGATGGTACAAGTAGGTTAGTGGGAAACAGACTATAGAAAATCATAACTAGGGATGAAGCCAAGATTCTATAATTGCGGCATCTGATCTATTAGAAGTTTCACTATAACCTTAAGTGGGAAACATGGAAACAGATTATGGATATAGATTGCCATACTCTTCAGGATGCACCTGAAGTGGTAGGATATATAGAGTGCCATATTATCAAGGAATCCACTTGAAGTGGTAGCAAAATTAGAAGATTCTGTGGGGAGAGGCTGCTTGAAGATACTAGGATAGTAAATGCTAACATATGGCTTAACAAAAAAATTGGTGACCATCACTCCAATAGTACTTCTCCAAGCAAAAATTAGAATATTTTTATTCTCTTTATCGGTACCTCCGAGATTTTGTTTTCAGCATTTCCTTTGTTTTTACCAGGAATGCTGTATATGTCTCAGCCCATATGAGGATGGAGCAGAGATTCATTCTCTACCCTGCAACCATCATTTCCATTCGACATGCATCGTGAAGTGGCTTAAGATGAACGCGACATGTCCACTCTGCAAGTACAACATTCTCAAGGGAAATGAACAGGTTTGAAGAAAGCGGTCCACAAAGTTTCTGGTTCCATTTGTTTCCACTTGTTTTCTCCGAATGTCTAGAAGTATTTAAGGCAGGAAACAGAGTCTCACAGATGAATTTATATATATAAAAAAAAAATGAGCTGCGCCATTCATTTAATTGAGCTTCTTGTGTGCCGTTTAGGCCTTTTTGAAGCTCTTAATTTTCTTGCGTTTTATAAGCTGCTTCAAGCATTGTGATGGAAAAACAAGCTAGCAATTAGCTTCCTTTATTTTGTCTTTAGTTTTATTGTTTTGCAGTTGATTATTAGAGGAGGGGGTAAAGGTTACTTCACATATATATGTATATTTTACTTCATTAGGCTAGCGGTGGAGCTTTTTAGCATAATGAAAAGAATTCTCGAGCAAAATTTGGATTGGTTGTGTTGCTGTACAATTTGTTGATTCCTCGACTCTAGTACACAATGTAGATATTGATATACCCATTACCGAGCGTTGAATAATGCATCAAAGATTTCGAGGCACCTGGAATTTTTGTTATACTCGTAAAGCATATGCAGGTGAGTATGTCTATTATGATGACAATCATGACACTCTTCACTGTGAGCTTCCAATCTCGACCAACAGATTGGGACACTCTTTATGGCCTCTCTCAAATTGTGAGCACCATCAGGGCAGTGTCTTTCCTATATGGATATTACAGCAGCATTCTGAATTAGTTTGTATTTTTATTTATTTATTTTCTTGGTTAGAAACTCACACCCATTTGCTCTTTTGGGGACTTCAATCCTCACCTCACTTTGTAGCTCAGTGGTTGCTAGTGGTAGTGGTAGCTTTAAAGAAAATTGTTAGGACTAGGAACCCGGGTGCAATTTGGGTTGGGCAAACCGAACCCAACCCGTGTTTTTGTAAGCGTGGGCAATCATTTTTACAATTAAGGTCCGGCTTGGATTGAAAATTTTTAAGTAGAATTTAATTAGGGTTGGATTTGGGTTTGGGTTGAGGTGCTATCAATCCGGACAAATCCATATTCTAAATTTTAGATACACTATATATACCATTCAAAATATGATCACCTTTTTTCTTTTCCCTTCTTTTGTTAAATCTTAATTTATTGTATATTAACATTTACGAGCATTTATTTTATAAGCATTTGTTAGTAATTTATTAAAAATTTGCAATAAGTTTTTAAAATTTTTTTGTTCAAGAGAAATTTAATTAAATTGGTCATATGAGTAATTCGAATTAATTCAATTTTTAAACTCGAAATTTAAGCTCTAGTTTAAAAGTAGAAGGATGAGTTGGGTCCGGGTTGAGTAATTTGGGTTGAAGGTAGGGTTAGGGTTGGATTCAGTTAAACATTTCATATGTCGGATTGGGCTCAAGGTATACCTCATCCCGTCCGAGTCCGAGTTACAGCAGTAATCATCCAATGGATGAGTGTGCTAAATTTAATACCATAGATTTGAAGTTCAACCTCAGATGACCAAGAGGTCTTGAATACGTGAGTATTTAGTTTGCGTAAATTTATCTGTATATTTTATGTTTCATGATTTATAATTTTCTTTTACTTATGAAAATGGTCATATTAATTTATTTGTCACTTTTTGTTTAATTTTCATTTATATATCGTGTCTTTAATGATCCAATAAAAAGTATTATATAGACAGATACAAATAAAAATTTAGATGAAATTCTTAAATAATTCAATGAAATGGAGACTCGGTGTTTGTTTGGAGTGCTCTATCATCAGGTACACCATTGTTGAGAGGGGTGAGATGGGGGTGCTATATTGTTTATTGATTTGAAAACAGGGAAATTAGTATTAATGAAATTTGATGTATAATTACTTATTTAATATAACTAATACTTTACGTTTATTGTGTTAAAAGGTGAAAAAAAAAAGGTTCTATTTATATATATATATATAGTACAAAAAGTTTCATATTATTTAGAGTTTCATAGCTTTTATTTATAATGTATTTATAATAATATAAATTTAATATCTACACCTAGAAAAACATAGTAACTCCTGAATATTGTAATGAATTCTGATGAGAGGTCATCGGAATTCAATTGCAAATTTCTGACTGATGAGAGGACACATTTTTATCTGTTTACTCAAATATATATAATCACTAATTATTATTACTTTTTAAGTATCTAATCGCTAAAATTTCAATTTGTAATTTTTTTTGAAATTTCTATTATTATCTGTCCACGTTTTTAATACAAATTTAAATTTAATTGCATGTCTATTCGAGTTATTGTTCTTTGTTTAATTATTTAGTTGCTAAAATTTTATTTTTATTTTAATTTGAAAGGCTCGCTAAAATTTCAATTTGTAATTTTATTAAAATTTCTATGATGTACATCTTTGTTTATTTATTATTATTTTTATAAATATTAATTTTCGAACTATAAGTTAGAACATTTCATGACGGCAATTTACTTTTGAACTTGAAAGATTTAAGACTGAATTTTTATTTCCCAAACTTGTATTGAGCTTTTCAGAAATCGAATTTAAACAAAGCGATGATAACTTTTTAGAGAAAGAGTCTCCTCTACTTATAACAATATTATATTGATTTCAAATAATTATTTTCACACAAACTTTTTGTTTACACACTATTAACCAATTTCTATTTATAGTTTTTACATTGATCATTGTGTGAAATGGAGCACATTTTCATTTAAAATATTATTTTAATATTGTATTGAAGTGTATATCTATTGTTAATTTGTATATAATTTTTTCTCTTTGTTTTCTCTGTTTGCTTTCTAAAAAATCTGAAGCAGCAATTTTGATCATCTTGTCTGTTGTCAATTTGTCTTTTGTTTAATTGTTTTGCTATTTTTTTTCCAATTGTTTTTCTATTAATTTGTGTAATTATGTGGTTGTTAATTTGGGTAATGATGTGGTTCTTAAGGTGGATGAATATTAATGGATATTGTTGAATATTAATGGATATTATTAAAATAGTTATTTTATTAAACTTACTAAATTTGTTGTCACAATCAATGGTAGGTGTCGGTTCGGAATTAGTTATAGGTGATGTGACAACTGATTTGAAGTTACAAAATTACTCAAATAAATGAGTTTGTACAACTATGTTAATAAATATGACACAGCTGTTATAAAATCATTAGAATTTTAAACATTGTCCTAGAGCTTGTACCTAACTTATTTATAGACATTCTCCAATCTAATGGACAAATAGATGCTAGTCTTTAAAATTATTTCCTTAAATATTAAGTGTCTACTAAACACCATACTATTCTATAGCCCTTAACACTATCTCTACAATATTCTAAATAAGCACTCCACACCGTAGTTGGTAATATACTCTACAATAAAAATACGTGTTCGGTCCGTTCGGATATGTACGAGTATTGTTCGATTTTTTCCGAAAAAACATTAAAACATTCTGCATAAAAAGGCAAAGACGAAAGATACGAATTACATAGTATATGTCATACCAAGTATTGTAAATACAATTAAATTAATCTAAAGACATATTAGCCACAAAATATATATATATATAGACATCCACGGCATTGTAAATAATTTCACTTTTAACTATTGAACTAATGCAAAAATAAAAATTTAAACAAGTTGAACACAAGGGAAAAAAAATAAAAAAATTTGAAAATTAAATTAGGAGGTAAGTGTTATGTCAGAATTAATCATTTGTTAGGACTTTATGGTCAACCATTTAAGAAAAAGAAAAGAAAAAAAGAAGAAAGGAATGAAAGACAAAAGAGGCTCCGTCTATAAAATATTTTACACTTTGTTTGGGGTGTCAGCATGAGCTGTATTTTTTAAATAAATTTATGTAATTTTTCCTAAATTGATTTGGTTATTAATTATTATAATTAGGATAGTTGACCGATATATTGTAATTTATTTCTTGTTGTTAGATTATCAGGGTTAGGGTTTTCACTTTGTATAGCCGTCGGCTCACCTACCCTCTATTTCCATGTATAGATTTGCTTGGGCAACACTCACTCACCTACCTCCCATCCTCTCTTATATAAGCCCCATCTGTGGTCGTAAATTTTCATTCAATACAGTAATACAATACATTGTATTATCTCATTCTCTCTATTTCTAAGATGGTATCAGAGCAACTCTAAGAAAAAAAAAAAAATTTCTTCTTCTTCTTCGTATTTCGCCTTCCGAATATCGTATCTTGAATTTTATTCCTGTTGTTAGTCTGAATAACGATTACTTTAGGTGCAACTACCGTACCAATCCCGACTCCGACACCACAGATCATAGTCCACCAAGACAATTCTGCATTTCTAACTGGAATTATACTGGATGAGACTAATTACTCATTATGGTCTCAACTCATGGAGATGCGGATTGGCGCTCATAACAAGGCTGGGTATCTCACGAGAGAAGTGGCAAAACCCGCACCTGGAGATTCGAAATTAGAAGCATCGATAACCGAAAATCATCGAGTCAAGAGTTGGCTCATTGACTTGATGAGCCCATCATTGATGCAGCGATTTATTCGTCTTCCCACGACTAAGGACATATGGGAGGCGGTGTCTAGGACCGTCTGTGTATTTTTGAATTGAATCAGAGGTCTTTTTCTATCAAGCAGAATGGCCGCCCTCTGCCAACATACTATAATGAACTTGTTGCTATTTTTCAGGAGATTAATCACAGGACTATGTCACAGGTAGGAACAATTAAAGGAGTGGTTCAATTGCACTCGGCCATGGCGAGGCTTCGAGTTCATATTTTTTTAAGCGGACTTGGCTTTGAGTTTGAACAGGTTCGTGGAGAAATCTTGCAAAAAGATCTAAAGCTTGACCTCGAGAGTGTGTATGCATATGTCCGGAGAGAGTATCAGTAGAAGCAGACGATGGCAGGATCTCATCCAATCTCTGAAAGCTCAGTGATAATGGCCAACCAAACTCGACAAGGACCACCATCGGGCCCTTTGAAAAATTAGAGTAATCAGGTTATTGGAAAATTTGGAGGGTGAGTATGTACTCAATTTGGTGAATTGGGCCATTCGAAAAAACGATGCTATGAGATTATTGGCTATCCTAACTGGTGGGATTTACGAAGAAGCCTCGAAAGAATATTGGAGGAAAAGCCATGGTGACTTCTACGGAAGAGGAATAGGTGCAACCAACGACAAATGCTGTTCACCCAGGTATACTTGGTAAAGCTTTTGTACTCTCTATGACTTTTCAGAATAGTGCTTGGATTATTGATACAGGTGTATCGGATCATATGACTAGGGACTCTGGTCAGTTAAAATCTCTTAACCCCTCCTTTTCAGTTAGTTATTTCCATAGCTAATGGTAGTACCTCTCTTATTACTGGGGAGAGGTCTGTTACTTTGTCCGATTCTCTCACTTTAGATACTATTCTTGTTGTTCCATCCCT